TGGCCTAGACCCGTGGCTGCGGCCCCAGGACCCAGCCCTTCAGGTCCTCGGGGGCTGCCCCCCAGCGCCGGCCCCGTGCCCACGTGTGACTCACTGGCCACATCCGGGCTCCTGCTGGCGTTGAGCAGCCTCCGGGAGGCCTCACGCCCGGCCACACGTGTGTAGCTGTCCAGGCGAGGGGCCTGGGCCGTGAGGACATGCAGGACACTCCAGGCCTCGAGGGTGCTGTTCCCAGGCTCAGCCACGGGGGGCGCGGTGGCTAACAGACCAGGGTCCACCTGGACCTCTCCTTCAGCCAGGTGAGGAGCACGTCTGGGGGCGAGAAGCCAGACACCCTGCCCAGGAGCCAGGAGGCCGCTCTGGACGCAGTCAGGACGTGGACGGTGAGGCTGACGGGCGCAGAGGCAGCTGCGGGAGAGGCCGGGCCGTGCTCGGGCCCCCGGAGGCCTAGGGGGAACCTGGGCGGCCTGGGTCCTGGATAGGGGGCGTCTGTGCCCGGCTGGGGATGCGTGTGCGGGGCCCCAGCTGCCCTGTCTCCTGGGCCCGGGAGGGGCCTCATCGTGTTCCGTGGGGGCCATGGACGGAACGAGGGTGGGCGCGCCCGAGGCGCTCAGGGTGCAGGTGACGTCGGCCCCAGAGGCCCAGGATGACACAGGCAGGTCCAAGCGGCTGCTCTGGCTCTGGCACCATCGGCGTGCTCCTCGGGGCCCATCATCGGCACCCTCGTGCAGGGGCGCCCGGCCACCTCCCAGGGTAAGCGGGCCTCCGGCAGGTCAGCCCCCACTGCTAGGCAGGTAAAGGTGGCCTGTCCCTGGACCCACGGGCCCTGCGGGGCAGGCCGAAGCAGGTAGAGGCTGGGAGGGCTCGTGTGGTTCTGACCCTCTGCCAGAAGGCAGCGGCCTCAGTCAGTGGGGGGCCCCGGGGCGCATAGACGCGGTGCAGACCCGGCCTTCGTTGCCTCCTGGACTCGCACAATTGGCCTGGGGGCTTGCTCGTGGGCCGGGCTGTCCCCTGTCTCCCCATCTGGTCTTCCCCTTCTTCCACGCTCTGTGCCCCAGGGCACCGACCTCTGAGGCTGGTGTCCACTCTCCTTGCGTCTGGTGCTGCTGGTGGAAGGCACTGTGGAAGGAAGTCGGGGATGAGATGGGCTGAGCGATGCACGTGTGGTTGGGCCTGTGGCCTCCCTGAGCCCCTCAGCCTTCCTGTCCTCTGCAGTCCTGAGACCTGCCCACACCGCCACTGCCCATCAGGCACCACACCACTGTCACTTCTACACTTGTGTCGACAATGGCCGGTGTTACCAGTCCCAGAAGCCTGCTGTAAAGGGTCAGATAGCAAATCTACAGGCTCTTCTGTCCCTCCACTCTCTCCCGCGTCCCCATTCCTCTCAGGCTGCAAAGACTGATCCCAGCTTGTAGGAAGCAGGCTTTGTGCAGCACTGGCTGTGGGTGCATGGGGAGTAAGGAGTGAGTACCGTGTAAGTACTGTAAGTACCGAGTAAGGAGTGAGTACTCTGCATCCTCACCCGGGAGACTCATCTCTCCAGATCACTCCCCCTATGCGGAGCCAGGGTCCTGGCCATGTTTGGAGATGGGGATGTCGTGGCTCGGGCCTGAGTGGGAGCCACCCGTGGGGAGAGGTTCTCTGTCTGTCCAGCTGCTTCTTCTAACGTGGCAGAGGAGTGAGCGCCAGACTGTCCTCCAGAGATGGATGCAGCTGGGAGCCAGTGCGGGCAGGAGGGGAGGGCAGCTCCTGCCGCAGGGAGGTCATGGGCCCCAGGTCACGGCTCCTGAACCTTAGGGGGACATGCTACAATTCTGCAAGTGTCACTCCTGGCCACTTTGGTAACATCCTCACGTGAGGCCCGATTACCACCTCATGGTCTGCTGAGTTCCAGTCCTGGCCTGTGGGCCTGCCTTTGTCTGCTGTGCTCTTGCAGGGTGTCTTGGGTGGTCTTCTGTTCACTAGGGGCCCAAGGCGGCATCTGCTGGTGCTAAGCACAGGGCTTGGCACAGAGCAGGTGCTTGGTAGATGTCAGCTCAGTGCCTGTTCTTCCTGACTTGAAGACATACAGGAGAAGTCATGGAGGCTGCCTGAAGGAGGCAGCCTAAGAGATGGGAAGGCAGGAGGGGGTATGCTGGAATGGGGGCTCCTCGCCTGAGACCATGGCAGTGCTGGGCACCGTGGTGTCCTCTGACAGGGATGGGCCAAGAGTCGGCAGTTTCCCAAGATGCCGAAATCAGAGCAACACGGCAGGAGCGTGTCAGAGCACGTGTGCACTGAGGTGTCAGGGCCGCATGGTGGACGGCAGACCCTGGAAGTGGCGAGAGAGGGATGAGCTGGTTGTGTGGCGCAGAGGTGGGGCCTGAAGCTTGGGAGGCCGTAGGCTCAGCCTCAGCCTTTCTTCTGCCCCCGGGGGGCAGGGTCCGCAGGACGGGCGGGGTGGGGTGATGAGAGGGCCAGACGGGCACCGTGTCAGGGCCTGGGGGCCAGGCTCTGGTAGAAGACGTGGGAGGCCCTGCAGGGCTCTCCTTCGCGGTCCTGGGGCCGCCCACCCGGCCACTGGAAGGGCTGCGCAGCTTGCCGCTGGCGGTGCTGCACTGCTGGGGCCTGGCCTCCACTGGGTGGTCAGAAGTACAGCTCAATGCCTCGTGCCTTCAGCGTGGGGGGGTTCGTGTTTTTGGTCTGGTCCTGCTCCCCCGAAATTGAGGTCACTACACTGACTCTAGGTAGTATCCACTTGCCAAGCAGGCCAGGCCTATGGGGTCGCCTCGGGGCTTGACACCCTGAGAACCAGGGGAACATGTGCAGCTCTCCGGAGCCTGGAAGACAGACACAGGGTTTCTGGGGCTGGGGGCTCCCGAGGCTGCGGGGTTGGAGTGTGGCCGGGCAGAGCTGCTGAGTGGCAGGTGCTCCCACTGCAGAGCCTGAGGCTGAGTCAACACTTGGGCTGGTGTAGCCCAGACTCCAGTTCAAGCACACCCTCCGTGATGGGCCTGCGGCCATGTGTCCCCACACCCAGGCCTCCAGCAGCTGGCCCCTGCCACCACGGCATGGGTGCCATTTGCCTGCAGAGGGGCCATGTGGCCAGACTTCTGTGTGGTTCCTTGAGGAGTGCGTGGCTCAGGCACCCCCACCCCTGACCTTGTGTCCACCTCCTGTGGACAGGCCGTGCTGCACACCAGGCCCTATGGGCTGCAGGTCCCCCAACGAGGGACCCCAGCTAGGCTGTCTCCAGTCCCTTGTCCTCTCCCTGGGCACCTGGATGGCCCAGGGCAGCTGAGCAAGTGTGGGGGCCCTGCCTGTGTCCCTGAGGGCACTGCTGTGCCTTAGTCTGTGGGCCCTTTCCTCCTGGCTCCGGCCTCGTCCCACATCCCCCTGGGCACCATGCTGCCGTTGCTCAGACAGGGCCAGACATGCCATTCTTCAGCCTGGATTGAGGTTGTCTGGGTGGGGGGTGCCAATCCCCCTCTCCACAGGTCCCCTGGGGGCAGGAGCCACCTCTGCTCTGCAAGTACCTGGCCACCCTGCCCCTGCCTTCTCCCATCCATGTCCCAGAGGCCCCTGCTGCACAGAGCTGCCCACATAGCCTCTCCATCATCCCCTAGGGCCCTGAACGCAGGTCTGTGGGCTGTATCATGACCTACCCCCAGTGCCTCAGAACGTGACCTTGTTGGGGAGACAAGGTCACAGTAGGTGAAGTCATGAGGTCATACTGCCGGAGGGTGGGCTCCAAATGCAATATGACTGTCCTTACAAGAGGGGACATGGATGCCCACAGGAGGTGCTCTGTGTGAGGGTGAAGGCGGGATTGGAGGGAAGACCAAGGATGGGTCACAGCAGACAGAGGCCTGGGCGGGGGCACGGAGGGAACGTGCCCTCAGAACTGACACGGTCAGCATCCAGCTCCCCCTGCATCTGCCGCCACAGGAGAAGGGGGCACGCACACTGTGGTGCCAGAAGTGGGGTGTGACAGAGCCGACGCACAGAGGGACAGATGCAGCGTCAGAACTGGAGGCTGGGGTTCTGAGGTGCACGTCAGAAAAAGCCAGACTGCCTTGAAGACTGTTGGTAGAAATTTGGATGTTAAAGGCGATTCTGGTGAGGGCTCGGAAAGGAAGGGAGAGCTGGAGGGCCTCCGTGCCCTGACGCACACTGTGTAGACACATGGCTTAGGAAGTTTCTAAGCCAAGTGCCAGAGGAGGGGCTGGGCATTTGCTGGTGGCTCCCAGTGGACATTGGAGGAGGGAGAGGGAGAGGAAGGCAGGGAGCTGGTGGAGAGGAGCCAGAACTAGAAGCTTTGGGAGCGTCTCTGCTCATCTGGACTCGGGGGCCCAGGGTCTGGCCGGGCCTCTTTTCACTAAGGAATCACATGTGTGGTCCAATCAAATACTCAGCAAGAGCCGGGAGTGGCCACGTGGTTACCCAGGAAAGGTCCAGCCTCCACCTGGGCCCTCGCTGTCGCTGCCCCGTGGTCTGTGGCTGCCCTGGCCCTCTGCCCCGTGGCTGGGCCAGCCTCCCACATAGGGCCCGCACCCACGTCTGCTGTGGCCTGCACTTTTCTGCGGTGATGGGAGCGTGCCTCTGCGTCCCCCTGCCAGGGCCTCTCCCGACCGGCTCACCAGGAACTTCTGTTCCCATCCGCTGGCCACAGACACCACAGCGGGTAGGACACGCCCTCGGGACAGGGACTTGTAGGCGGGGCGCCCTGCTGGTCACACACAAACCCCGGTGGCCCCAGCCTGGTTCCCGGTTCCTGACGTGATTGGGACCCTCTCCAGCTGGGCTGCCGTCCTTCAGCAGACTGGACGGGCCCGAGACCCTGGGCCCCGGCGGAGTGCCCTCTCCAGGCATGTCCCCCAGCAGGCGTTGTGCAGACAGACACACACACACCCCCCCCGCCTTTCCCACACGCATGTCCCAATGAGGGAGGGCCGCCCCTGGATGCACACAGCACACACGGGTGCAGTTCGGGATAAAGAAACGTCACGAGCAAGCAGTTTCACAAGATAAAATATACACGTTTATTTCAAGGCAACATGCATATACACTGCAGAACGGTGCTGTGTCCATGGCACGCATCCACGGCATGTGGCCTGGTCTCCAGAAGCCTGTGTCTTTGGGCTGCAAGCAGGAGGGGTGACGTGGGAAGGATTTAAGTACAAGTCGACAGGCCCCAAAGCAGTGACCCCAGGTCCCATCTTCCGTCTCTGAAGTTCTTAGCTGGGGAGTCATTTCACCTGCGGACGACAGACGCATGAGCTGTTTCCCAGCGCCCAGAGGACGGTGGGCCAGGCTCGGCCTGAGGCCGTCTGTGCCCCACCCCCCCAGGCCTGCCACTACCTTGAAGAGGGTGACCGTGGTGCTGTAGAAGACGCTGAGCAGGAAGAGGACGATGAAGGTGGAGGCCATGGTGTTCAGATTCTCGAAGCCCTCCTCCTCGGCGCTCACCTCCCCCTCTGCAGGGGACACAGCACAGAGGGGTCAGGCCACGGCACCAGCACAGCCCGGCCCCGAACCACCCTGGGCCCTGTGTCGCATCCGACATGGTGGTGGGACAGGAGAGGGTGTCCATGGCCTCCTGGCCCTGTGGCCTCCTCCCCCCACCTTGTGGGGCTGGGGGCTCCTGGGCTTCATTGGGAAGAGGGTCTCAGCCAAGCGTTAGCTGGGCCTTGACAGCCCAAATCAGGGGCCAGGTAGAGGCAGCATGTGACCAAAGCAGAGCAGGGTGGTAGCCCGGTGGCCCTGAGCACCTTGTCTAGGAGCCCTGGGGTGGCAGAGAGTGCGACAGGGAAGCACAGATGTGAGGGTGCGGCCTGGGCTGGGGCCAGAGGCCGGGACCCCGGAGGAGTGGTTCACAGCGTCCTGAACTCTCCTGCGGAAGCTGGTGGTACAGCTGAGGCCACCTTGGTCTGAGAGGCAGGGAGCAGCCCCCCCCTTGCCAGCTGCGCTGTGGGGCCAGTGGGGCCCTGGCCACCGAGGCCAGTGAGGGCCAGCAGTGGGGAGCTGGCAGATGTCTGGGACCAAGGGGGCCTTTTCACTTCCTAGCGAGACTCCCGCTCGCTGTCTCTCCTTCTGGGAGTGGACAGCACATGTGGGGCCCTGGCTGGCTTGTCTGCCCTCCCAGGACTCTGGGGCAGAGGGGTCCTGAGGTCCTCAGAGGTCCTCAGACAGAGTCCTGAGGCTCCAGGGGGGCTGACATTGGGGTGCTCAGGCTGAGGACATTCAATGGGGCCTGCAGCCCCTGTACAAGTGAGCTCAGGCGCCCCAGGGCTTGGTTCGCAGAGGGGGCCTGGAAGGCAGCCGGAAGGGGGCCGTGCTGCCTTTTTGCCTGTTCAGGAGAGGAGATCCCACTCAGGCCCCTGCCCCTGTCTGCCCACTGGGCTCCATTCTCCTTCACTCTTTATCCTGGGTCCTCATTTCCCACCATTTCCAGGGCCAGGTGTTTGCAGGGGCTCCCCACTCAGATCATGCTGTCTACAGCCTCTTCAAGGAGGAGCCTTGGGGAACAGCCTTCCCGCTTTGGGGCCAATGTCCAGGCACTGCCTGCTCTGTCCATTCACCCGTGGGTGCCAGGGTTCTGCTGCCTTCAAGTGCCTGGGCATGGTCAGGGGCTTCCCTTGACTCTGGGCCTGGGAACCGTGGCCGTGGTCAGTGTCCAGGCTGGGCCCGCCCATGGACGCACCTCCGAGCTGAGACAGAAGGGCAAGCAGAGGGTGGGCACGAAGCCCTATGGAAAGTGACACAGCTGGAGAGGCCAGAAGCGCCAGCCCAAGGCACCGAGTAACCATGTGTGCATGTCAGCATGTCTGTGACTGTGTGTACCTCTGTGTGCATCTGTGTGTGTGGGTGCCTGCATGTCCATATGCGTGTGTATCTGTCCATATCCCCATGTGTCTACATCCAGGTATGTGTGTGCATGTGTATGTGCGCCCCTGTACAGCGTGTGCCTGTGTCCATGTCCATGTGTGTTTCTCTGTGTACATGTTTACATGCCTGCACAGGTGTGCATGTGTGTGTGCCCATGCCTGTGCTTGTGCAAGTACCCATGTGCATGCATGTAGAAGTCTGCATGTGTGTGTGTGTGCCTGTGCAAGTACCCATGTGCATGCATGTAGAATTCTGCATGTGTGTGCATGTGTGTGCGTGTGCAAGTACCCATGTGCATGCATGTAGAAGTCTGCATGTGTGTGCGTGTGTATGCAAGTACCCATGTGCATGCATGTAGAAGCCTGCATGTGTGTGCGTGTATGCAGGTGTCTCTGTGTGTGTACGTTTGTGCTGCACACCCAGGTGGCCATGGGAGCAGCTAGAGGAGCACATGGACTTGCAGAGGCTGGGTGGGGGAGGGCGGTGGGGGAGGTTGCTCTGGGGGCGAGGACAGCACAGCCGTGGCTCCGGCAGGTGAGAGCATCGCTTACTCAGGACGAGCATCTTTTGAATGGATGTTTTTATTTCTAATTTTGATAAAATGCCACATCTCACCCCGTTGACACGGTTAGTTTGCACACATGCACACACAGCGATGGGTCCCCCGGGGCTCTGGGATCCGCCCAGAATGGGGGCGGCCCACAGGTCAGTAGCAGGTGGTGGCCGTGTCAGACAAGACCAGGGACACGTTGTACAGGGTGGGTTTACCGGTGGCCTTGTCCACGCTCCTCTCCGTCACCATGTGCGGCAGGGCCTCGTGGCCCACAACACAGGTGTAGGTCTCGCCCGAGCTCCACTCCTCCTCACTCACAGTCAGAGTGCTGTGGACAAAGTAGAGGTCGGGGTTCTGGGGCTCGGGCTTCGGGTCACTGGTCACGTAGCTGTCGGAGGACATGGGCTGCCCCTTCTGCAGCCACTGCACGAACACGTCTGCAGGCGCGAAGCCCTTCACCAGGCAGGTGACAGTGGCTGACTCCCGGAGGCTCAGCTGCTCCCGGCTGGGCGGCAGGACGTACACAGACGGCGGCTGCTTGTTGACCCCTGTGGGAGGAAAGGCAGCGGTGAGCCTAGGCGGGGGGCCGTGGGCAGAGGCTGTGGGGGCGTCCTGGGGCAGAGGAGGAACGGGCCCTACCCTTGGGCTTGGAGATGGTCTTCCTCAGTGGTGAGGGCAGGTCCGTGTGGGTCACCGTGCACGTGAAGTCCTCCCCTGACTCCCAGTCCTCCGCACAGACGGTGGCCTCCCCCGTGGCACTGAAGGTGTTGTTGGGGTTGCTCTGGAAGGCGGTGGTCGTGGGCAGAAACTCGCCGCTCTGGCGGGTCCAGGAGATGTTCAGGCTGTCGCGGGTGGTCAGGTCTATGACTCTGCAGGACAGCTTGGCCGACTTGGTTTGGAAGATGCCAGCGAAGGTCGGGGGGATGGTGAAGATTCTGATGCTGGCTTGTGGGTCTGGATGGGGAGAGGGTTTGTGTCAGTGACTGGCTGGATGTGCATTTGGGTGGAGGGGGAGGTTTTCCCCAGAGAACAGGAGCTGACTTCAACAGGCTTTCCTGAGCCCCCAGGACCCCTTGGAGGGGATGCTGGGTACCCCCATCTGACAAGCAGCCCCCTCCCTGCCCTTGGCCACTCCAGGAAGCCAAGGCTCAGGAGTGGCTGCCCTGAGTGGACACCTATGTATGTGAGATGTGAGGGGTCCCTATCGTGAGGGCCCGTACTAGGGGCCAGGACCACTCACTGAGGATGCATGTGGAGGACACATTCTTCTTGAAGGTCAGCCCGTTGTGCTTCACGTTGCAGGTGAACATGCTTTGGCTGAGCCAGTCATTCTCGGTGACGGTCAGTGTGCTGAGGACCCTGAAAGTCACGGGCCCAGGCCCGTTGTTCTCGGCCTCCACTTTGCCTGGGTTGAAGCCAGACTCGATGGGCTTTCCATCACGAAGCCAGGACACAGAGATCTCCTTGGGGCTGAAGCCTGTTGCCTGACAGAGGAGCTGGGACGTGCGCTGGTTGTTGTCAGAGAAGGCGTCACGGGGTGGGATGAAGACAGTCACGTTGGGGGGCAGCTCTGGAGGCACTGCCGTGAGGAGGACACGATGTCAGCCCATCTGACAGCCCCTCCCCCTCCCACCCCACCGGCCAAAGGGAGGAGGGCCCGCTCTCACCTGAGATGGGCACGGGCACCTTAATGTTGCCCTTGGGGTGCTTGACATTGCATGTGAGGAAGTCATCGGAACCTTGGAGGATGGCCACAGAGGGCAGGAGCACCTGAGACGTAGCTACATACTTGCCCTCTTTCAGGACTGGAGGGAAGGTCGTGATGTCCTGGCTGTTGACCACACTGTTGTTCTTGTAGTTCCAGGAGAAGGTGATGGAGCTGGGCAGGAAGTCCTGGGCCAGGCAGCCCATGGCCACCAGGGACTCATCGGACAGAGGGCTCTCACAGGTGATGAGGGGGTAGAGGTCTGGAGGGGACGGGGTCTCTGAGGACCAGAGAGGGACAAGAGACAGGGTTAGAAGGCGTCTTCTTCCCACGCTTTGCCAGGCGGGCCAGGGCCAGCCACGTGGCTCCATTTCACTGCCATAAGGGCTGCCCTGATGCCCTCACCAGCCTGGACCGACGGCACAGTGGGTGGCTGTGGTGAGGCCCGGGTCCTGCCGGGAAGGAGAGGCACAGCAGCCTCCTCACCTGCTGCAGAAGTCCAGCTCTGGGCTGGTGGGGAGTTGGGGGCACTTTGTGCTGGGAGAGGCAGATGTGGCCTCCCCCCCAGCACCTGCCACCCTTGTCCTCAGACACACTCTAGTGCCCTGGCTCAGCTCAGGACGGCTCGGCCCCAGTCAGCGGTGCCTTCCCTCTGAGGTGCCAGAGCCACATAGGCACACTCAGCCACGAGCCCCGTGAGCTGTCCATGCGGCAGACTGACAGCATGGAGCGGAGCCCCCCGCCTCCCCCAACCCTCCCAGACAGACTACCAGCCCAGGCCTGTATGTCTAGGGTCAGCAGAGGCTGTGAACACAAGGAGTGGGACCATGTGATTCTTCTTGGCCCATCCTTAGCACAACCAGGTCATTGAGGTCAGCCCAGTGTTAGTCAGGACAGTCCAGCAAGGCCAGGTCTCCCCACTTAGAACTAAATGGCCCAACATGAGGCCTGGACTCTGAGCCAAGCCAGCTCAGACAGTCCATTTCTGCCGGACAAGCTCAGTGAACCTGATTAATTGGCTTCAATATTAAGCCTAGCGCACATCAGCCCAGCCCAGCTCAGCCCAGCCTAGCCCAGCTCAGCCCAGTTCAGCCCAGTGCAACTCAGCTAAGCTCAGCCCAGCCCAGCCTAGCCTGGTTTAGCTCAACCTAGCCTAGCCCATCCCAGCCTAACCTGGATCAGCCCAGTCCAGCCCAATTCAGCCCAGTTCAGCCCAGCCCAGTTCAGCTCAGCTCAGTTCAGCCCAGTTCAGCCCAACTTAGTCCAGCCCAGCTCAGTCTAGTTCAACTTAGCTTAGCCCAGCCCAGCCCAACCCAGCCCAGCTCAGCTCAGCCCAGCTCAGCTCAGCTCAGCTCAGCCGAGTTCAGGCCAGTTCAGCCCAGTTCAGCTCAGTTCAGCTCAGCCCAGCTTAGCCCCAGGTCAACCTGGTTCAGCCCAGCTCAGTCTAGCCCAGCTCAGCCCCAGCTCAGCTCAGCTTAGCCCATCTCAGCCCAGTTCAGCCCAGCTCAGCCCAGCTCAGCCCAGCTCAGCCCCCGCTCAGTTCAGCTCAGCCCAGCTAGGCTGGTTCAGCCTAGCCTAGCCCAGCCCAGCTCAGCCCAGCTCAGCTCAGCCCAGCTCAACCCAGCTCAGCCCAGTTCAGTCCAGCTCAGCCCAGCTCAGCCCAGCTCAGCCCCAGCTCAGCTCAGTCCATTTCAGCTCGGCTCAGCCCGGTTCAGCCCAGCTCAGCCCCAGCTCAGCCCATCTCAGCCCCAGCTCAGCTCAACTCAGCCCAGCTCAGCCCATCTCAGCCCAGCTCAGCTCAGCTCAGCCCCTGCTCAGTTCAGCTCAGCCCAGCTCAGGCTGGTTCAGCCCAGCCTAGCCCAGCCCAGCTCAACCCAGCTCAGCCCATCTCAGCCCAGCTCAGCCCCAGCTCAGCTCAGTCCATTTCAGCTCGGCTCAGCCCGGTTCAGCCCAGCTCAGCCCATCTAAGCCCAGCTCAGCCCAGCTCAGCCCAGCTCAGTCCCAGCTCAGCCCCAGCTCAGCCCATCTCAGCCCAGCTCAGCCCAGCTCAGCCC